ATGTTTTTCTGATATCTGGCAGTCAAACTGCCATCTTCTTCTCGCTAAAATCCATCTTAGGAAGCCACTTTCCCCTCTTGGTTACATTAAGACTTCTATTTTTTGTTTTCTGTGTCTCCCCAGTATGGCCAGTTTCTTCGGTATTTCTTCTAGACTCAAATGTACATGATGACCTTAAAGAATATAGAGCTGGGTCCTCACTGGTAGAGCACTTCACTAAGATGCTACACAGTATGAATTTTGAGTACATCATTAAGATGCTACACAGTGTGAATTTTGAGTACGTCATTATATTACTTTGAAACATTGTACAATTTATTAATTTTTTCTTTATTTATGCTGTCAAGATATGCATTTTGTATCTGAAGAGTACGATTGCTAGTTCTTTTATGGAGGTTGACCATTCTCATGTAGTCCACTAGGCATGCATGAATGTACATTATTTTATAATCAATACCAGAGATGGGTGGTTCCCAAGAAGCTTGTCTTTGAAGCTGTTAGTTATGGTTGTCTGCTTCTTTTCAGGAAAACAGAAGGAAAAATTGAATACCCTCTTGTTTAGCTAGAAGAACATGTGAGGCACTAGCATGGAGACAAGTAATAAAACACCATTTTCAAAAAGGTAAACTGAATGCAAGTTTAGGAAACCTGGAATTTTAGTTGTTTACCACTGAGTAGGCAACATGCCTGTTTCAGAAACAGAAAGCCAGGAAGGAAATTAGAAAATCTCTACAACAGTGACTCTGAGACAGGTAGCTTAGAAAGAGAGCTTAGGGGCCAAATCAGTAACTGGAGAGAGGACTTGCAACTGTGAACTATTAAATTGTCTTCTATTAGATTTCTGCTGTGCTTAGGAAAACGTGGCTGTCTGTGTGTTTCTGTAAAGAAATGAGCAAAATAGAAAGCCCCATAGTTGCATCAGATATACTCCTTCATCTGTTGTCTTCATTGTGGAAAAAGCCCCGTGAAAAGATACCAAATGATGACTAACCACTTGTATCAGAAAGAGTAGCAGAATAGCGTTAATTTACATCTCTGGACGGTAGTAGTTTACAAAATCTTCCTTCATAAATATATTGTTTTAGAGAGAATATGTTAATTTTCACACAACCTATTGAAAATTCTTGAAGAATCTAGAGGCCAGGGATAATACACTGCAACACAATACAATTTTACTTTGAATAATATCTTTCATGCAAAACTCATCTCTGAGAGATGGTTGGTCAGGAGTGCCGCAATGGATTGATACAGAATTTTTAGGAAGGATTGGCCAGGAAGGTAAGGAGGGGGAGTTACCCTTTCTGTGAGAGAGAGGCTGAAATGTGTGGAGCTTGGTCTTGGGGTGGAGGATGAGCCAGCTGATAGCTTATGGTTAGGATTAGAGGGTGGATGTAGGATGGCATTGGGGGGGGAGGAGGGTCAGCTACAAACTGCCTTATCAGGAAGAAGTAGCTGAGGCCTTCTTCAGAAAATTGAAAGAAGCCTCACATTCACAGGCCCCGGTTCTTATAGAGGGTTTCAACCACCCCAGTGTCTGCTGGAAGGGCAGCACAGCAGGGCACAAGCAACACAGGAGGTTTCTGGAGTGCACTGATAATCACTTCCTGACAGAGGCGATCAAGGAGCTGATGAGAGAAGGTCCTCTACTGGACTTGATACTTACAAACAAGGAAGAAATAGTCAGGGATGTGAAGGTCAGGGCAGCCTTGGCTGCAGTGACCATGAGATGGTAGAGTTCAGGATCCTGAGTGGAGGGAACGAGTTAAATAGCAGGATCACAGCCCTGGACTTCAGGAGAACAGATTTTAGCCTGTTTAGGGACCTGCTCGAAAGAATTCCGTGTGATTTGGTCTTGGGGAGGAGAAGAGTCCAGGAGAGCTGGTTGATTTTCAAGGATCACCTCCTCCAAGCTTAAGAACAGCCTATCCTGGCATGCAGGAAGTTGAG